GAGATGAGGTTTTCCATCTCATGCTATCCTCTATCCCATGCCTTAATGGTGGGCCATCACCTAGAACAAATTGTAGATTATGGCTTTCTTCATCTTCCCAAGCTAGCAGGGGTCTTCTAAAACTGAGATTCCAGCTAATTTTCCTAGCAATAAAGTCTTTCAGAGATCCATCCTTTTCAATAGAAAGGCTAAATAATCTTGGAAATTTAAACTGAAGGCACTCAGGCCCCACCCAAATATCCTTCCAGAAAGATATGCTGGCCCCATTACCAATAACTAATTCTGAGTTAGTCATGAAGAAGTCAAATAAAGAAGGATTTTCTGATGCAAGTCCCATAATGTCCTTCCAAATCCATGAACATTTAGAAATAAAGCCTTGAGAATGGAACCAACTAAGCTACACTTGCTGCAAATTAATTTTCTCCAAAGGACTTGCTTTTCATTGCAGAACCTCCACCACCATTTAGCTAGTAAGCAAACATTAACTTGACTCAAACTTCTTACACCTAAACCTCCTTGCTTCTTTGTCATTGAAACATCCTTCCAACTAATTAGGTGTATCTTTCTTTTTACATCAGAGTCACCCCACAAGAAAGAAGCTTGGATTTTATCCAATTCTTTGATTACACACTTTGGTATTTTAAACAAGGAAAAATAGAAATTTGGGAGGCTAGATAGAGTGGATTTGATGAGGATAAGTCTACCAGCAAATAATAACAATCTCTTTTTCCAACCTGAGAGTTTACCTTTGAAATTGTCCAAAACAGGTTTCCAAGTGGTTTTTCTTCTGGGGTTGGCACCAGGAGGAAGCCCAAGATAAATTTTATCCCACTCTCTCATTAGTTCATTCAGAAAACAAAATAAATTTAAGATAACAAATTAATAAAGATCTTAATTAACAAACCCGACTTATTTGGTCAACCCATAAGGGTTGGCCTAGTGGTGTAGGCTTGGAACTTATGAGTTTGCTCATCTCTAAATCTCAGGTTTAAAACCTTTTAAGTGCTATCAATTCTTGTGTTAGGCCAATCTATATGGAACTTTGCTCTAGCTTCAAATGGGCTCCCGCTAGTGGACAGTGGAATTAATCCCTCAGGAATTAGTTGAGGTGCGCGCAAGCTGACAAAGACATCCTCAGTTATCAAAAAAAAGTTGGCAATTCACGGTAAACCAATCACATGAGTAAATTTTACACTGTTATATCGAGTCCATTGTAAATTTAGATATTTAGCACTGTAAAACTTTGTTTTAATTATAATATTTTACACACAATTTTTTTATTTTTTTTGTAAGAAATATTAATGAATAATTATTCATTTAATGTATGAGCCTTACAATATATCAATTAATTTTCAAACACTCTTTACCTTTCTAGGTAAAATTCTTAACAAAAAATCTAGATATGTATATTTTTGCTTATTTTAATACTCATTATTCATTGATTTGTAATGTTCGTGTGATTTATGGTTTACAATATATTAATGGTGGTTACAAATGTGATATATTGTAATACTTATTAGTCATTGATTTGTAATGTTCGTGTAATTTACGGCTTACAATATATTAATGGTGATTACAAATGTAATAATTTGTAATTTTCTATTTAAATTTTCAAGCGATTTGGTGAATGAGAAAAAATAATTAACAATTTTAAAAGGTTTGATGAATAAAAAAAATATAAATTGTTTAAGAGTTATTAAATGTGGAGGGCAATTTAACTACAAGAAACTATCCCAGAATATCAAATCAATGGCAATGGTGTAAAATTAAAGTTGTTGTCGTGAGACCAAACCACCGATGAATCTTCACTCTTGATTTCAACTTTGAGTTCTTTCTGGTTTTTTATATTTGGCTCCTATACGATCTCGTAATTTAAATATTAAAAAAAAAAAAAAAAAAAAGTAAGAGCATCCCCACCAAATGTGGTATTATATACAGTGGCGTAGCCAGAAATTCAATGCAGAGGGGGCACAATTTAATGATAATTTAGTTCTATTTTTTTAAAAATACTTTTTAAAATTTTTACTTTCTTATTTTTCGTATTTTTTTGTTTTTACTGATTTTTTAAAATATTTTAAGCAATTTTTTTTTTTACTTTTTAGACATACCCACATAAATATGCCTAAAAAGTAAAAAAATTGTGAAAAAAAATCTTTTAAAAATTCACTAAATACTAAAAATACGAAAAAAATATGAAAATTTAGTATAATTTTTGTATTTATTAATTTTTAAAATATTTTTTCACAATTTTTTTACTTTTTAGATACATCTAAGTAAGGTACAACTAAAAAAAGTAAAAAAAAATATTCAAAATTTTAAAAATATTCACTAAAAACAAAAAAACACGATAATAAAAAAATTCAATTTTCAAAAAACTTAATCCAAAAATCTCAAACCAAACACACTGATTAATTTATTTTTTTTCCATAATAAACAACAATAAGATATTACTAAACTTAAATGTTAAGAGTTCATTTGGATAAATACGAATTTTAAATTAAAGGATTTGAGATTAAATTTTATACAAAATTTGGAAAGTAACTATTTTATAGGTGGATTAGAAAATTAAAAAAGAAGATACGTTGAGACAGAAATGATATATTTTAGTAAAGAAATTCTATAAAATATACCGCAAAAAAAGTGTCTATCATATGTCGCAATTATGATTTTCGTGATCTTTAGTTATAACACATTATAGTGTTAGATATAATTTAGTTACAACTTCTTGTAGTTGTTATTTTAGTTATGACTATATATCAAGTAATAGTTAGTTATGACTCATTCTGATAGTAGTTATGACCTATTGTAATTTATTATTATTTTTTAATTTTTTATAATTGAAGATGTGTTACTTGATTATAATTTATATAGTGATCATTTTAGTTATGAATGGAAATAAACACATAAAGGATAAACTCCACATGTCAAATGTAAATAATAATCCAATAAATTCTATATCTTCATTGAAATTAATTATGTTTGCATGTCAATAATGATAGACATCACCATTATATTGAAATTTTTGTAGATAATAATATGACTTATTATAACCTATTTATTTTCAATCAAAATAACCATTATTATTCTCATAATTTTAAAAATGTCATTGACATTTCACTTTAAATAATATTTTTATAATTTTTTTTTATGTTATTAAAAAAAAAAAAAATTCCCAAAACTTCAGGGGAGGGGGGGCACGTGACCCCTTGAGCCCAAGGTTGCTCCCCCTGATTATATATATATATATATATATAGAGGGGATAGGGCTATCTAGATTCTGATGCTTTCCATTTTAAAATTATAAGGGACGGTTTTTATTACATCATTCAAGAGTTTGTAAGGATTTTTTCTAAATTTAAAATAGTGATAGATTTTCAAAAATTTCTTACAAATCTTTAGATAATGTAATGAAAATCTTCAATTACAACCATATAATAATGGTGAGGATCTCAATCTTGATTATCACTAGTTGACAATGGACACGAGGTTTTTGTTAGGATTGTGGAGATCACTATAGGTCATATTTTAATAATTTAAATCGTTTATTTTGTAAGATTTTATATATAGATCATTTATGAAATAAAATGTTGTTTTGATAATAAGAACTACATTATATTGTTACATTTGTTTGAAAAAGAAAAATAAAAAAAGATAAGTATAATTCCAAAAATAATCTAATAAAATCATAAACAAATTAATTTAATTTTTTTTGTACAAAATTTACGAATAAGGCACAACAAAATAAACGGTATAAATGATAATTTACTGACAGTGGACCATATATATATATATATATATTTTTTTTTAAAAAAAATCATGTTTATTTTAATTGGGTATATTACATTAAGGATTAGAAAAAATACAATTCAACCCACACTTTTATTATAATTACGATGTTCTCCCTTGAGGTTTTAATTTACAAAATTGGTAAGTCAGTTTTCATTAATTCATTATATAAATAAAAAATGATTTTATTGTCATCTTTTTTTCTATTAAAATATAGGGAAATGCTTTAGTGTATGCAATCTTATAACAAAATTATGTAAATTTTCACGAATTTACATAAGTAATTTCATAAAAAATCATATAAGTTCGTGAAAACATTAGACTTACGTAAATTTGTATTTAACTTACTCATTTTTATGTGATTACTTATGTAAGTTCATGAAATTTATGTAATTTTGTGGTAGGATTGCATATAATATGCATTGCACACCGAAATTTTTTCCTCAAAATATATATTTGTTTTTATTTATTTTAGTGTCGGCTTATTATCTACATTAATTTCAGTTATTTTAGTTATACTAAAATGGAGGTCAAATTATATATATATATATATATATTTTGCAAACAGTAAGGGAGGTGTGTGTAGTTTATCCTTTTTTATTTTAGATTTTGGTAAATTACAAATACACTTTATGAGATTTGCTTAAAATATGAATTTCTCTTTATGATTTGAAAAATTACAAATATTTTATTGTTAGAAATTTTTATTTAATAGAATTAATTGAAAAAATAAAATTCATAACTATTCTCTTATATAATAATAAAATTATTTGAATTATTAATTAAAATAAATTTCTGACATTAACAAAAAACGAATATAATTTTTTAAATTTTATGGAACAAATAATTTAAATAAGAGCAATGCTAGGTATCATGAAAAAACTTTCATGAAAATGATCATGAAAGATTTATGACCTTTGGATTATACTTAAAATAAAGCACCACACACTAATCAAGGTAATCTAAAAGTTATAAATCTTTCATGATCATTTTCATGAAAATCTTTTCATGATCTCTAGTTTTTCTCTTTAAATAAATCTCCTGATATATTTGTAATTTAATATGCCTCAAAGTCGGCGAGGAGAGTTCACCTAAAACAGAAACACTTACCCATAGCCATATCTATGTATATGTGGCTGTTTGGTCTGTCTACGTTCTCTCTCTCTCTACCTGTAACAACGATCATTCCTCTCTCTCTCTCTACCTGAGTAACAATGGCAATGGAGTTTGGTGTCGGATATAAATTTAATCCTAGTGATATAGAGTTGATTGAGTATTATCTGCTAAACAAGATTACTAACCAACCATTACCCATGCAACATGTGATCGAATGCGACGTCTACGATGAAAAACAAATGTCCAACATATTCAACACTGTGAAAACCAATATCTACGTGTTCACACAGTTGAAGAAGAAGTCTGGAAAGGGGAAGAGAATTGATCGGACGGTGGGTAAGATGGGTACGTGGAAAGCGATCGATGCGGCGAAGCCTATTGAGGATCACCATGGAAGACTTATTGGAGGCAAGCGAAGTTTGGATTATGAGAACAAAGAACGGTCTGGCGAACACGGCGCATGGAACATGAAGGAATACACTCTTGATGGTGCATTGCTCGCACGTATTAATGATCTCAAAGTAAGTTAATGATCTCTCAAACTCTTATTAATTTGATTGTATTTACTTTAAAAATCATTGTTTTCCTGTTCAGTTTCATTAACTGTTGTGTGTTAGTTACGTGTATATGGTGGTCTCTTTGTTGTTGTTCAAGAGAAGACATGAAATATTAGGGCAAACTAGAACCATTATTCTAAATCAATCAATATTATTTTAGAGTTTAGATTTTTTCTTGGTCGTGTTTTCAATCACGTGAACCCCAAAAGGTCGTTATGGCATGTAACTTGTACAAGAAGTATAACTTTTAGGTTAATTACACTAAGATTTTTTTAATTATTAATAAATATTAGTTTATCTCATTTATGAATCCATGTTAATCACTTAATTATAAAAATTGTTCAAATAACCCCTTTTGAAGTGGTTTGGGTAAAGTAAAAATAATACATATTTATAATTAAGGTGTCAATATGCATGAGTTTATAAATAAAAGGGTAAAGTGATATTTATTAACATTTAAAGGGTTTTGATGTAATTAATTCTAATTTTTCTTAACACAAAAAATTAACTCACTTACCTATCACAAAAATATAATTTTTCTAATTGTAATTTTAAGAGCGTATACTGTAATTTCGCTATTCATCATTTTCACTACAAAAAATATGACTTTTTGTTTATAACTTTCACTATAAAAATCTTAACTTTTAAATCAATATTCATAACTTTAATCATAAAAATTCTGAATTTATTTATTTATTTATTTTATGACATGTACCATTTTAAGGGAACACATTGTAACATTCCCTTCAGTTATTTGTAAGTCATATATGTATCATGGACATATATAGTTGTTCTGTAAAATCTTAATTGTTTGTCAATTGACTGTTTTAAAATCATATTCATAATTGATTCACTTTATTGTAATTTTAATAACTAAACTATCAACTACTGTTGATTTAACATATGTTTTTTTCCGAGAGACAAAATGATAATTAGTTACAAAAAAAAAAATTAAAAATAATATCTGAGAATTCTTTTGTTAATAATGATATTTAGTTCCCTTTCCACCAATATCGATTTTTTATTTTTATTTTGTTTTATCAGTATATAATTAAACGTATTTGTATTTGCTTTTGGTAATACAGTTGAAGGACTATGTGCTCTGTTTTATACAAAGGAAAAGGCGAGTTACAAAGCGAGCAACAACAGGGGATGATAGTGAACATGGAGTTGAAACGGTTGTCTGTGATGATGAGCAGCTGATCAACTATGGGTATTTGAACAACAACAAAAGGGCAAGAAGATCTGTTGAAGAATGCAATCAACCTAGTAATTCTGGTTTTCGTTTTGGTTTCAATGATGATGCATTGGAGAAACCAGTAGTACCAAAAGAAGTAGAACAGAAAGATAGCTCTATCTTCAAATTGGAATTAGATAATTTGGCCAAATTTCTAGGAGTAGATGAACCGACTGTGATGCAAGATGGTGAAAACATAGCTACAACTCCTGGAAATGACCGACCTGCATTGGATGATGAAGCTTTCAAGTATATTATTGATCCAAGTGTCTGTGATGATGAACAATGGCTACTTCAACAGGAACAGCTGATCAACAACAAAAGCAAACATACAACAAGCCATAATGAAGAATGCAAGACAAACAGAGATAGATTGGCAATGTCACTGCCCTCTGGTAATCCTGATTTTAGTGGTGCATTCAAATCAGGATCAATTGTTGCGTCTATCTTGGAATTGGAATTAGAAAATGTGGCCAAATTTCCAAAACTGGATCAACCATGTAGGATGCAAGATCCTGATGCTGCATCTGATGGCTGGTCAATGGGTGAAACTATAGCTACAAGTCTTGGAAGTTACCAACATGCAGTAGATGACGACGGCGATCATGTTTTCGACAGCAATTATTGGGTAGACTCATTTGTTAAAGATTTATTGAAGGGTGAACAGCTACCTTTGCAAGAGAGTAAAATCGAGATGTTGTCTAACACATTTTTTGGAGGTCTGTAAATATGATGTGGTAGTAGAAATTACTTGGGGTGTATAAGATTGAGAAAGTTATTATTTTGAAGATTACCTTAGTAACTCTGTGGCCGTAACCCTTGTTTTGGGGTGAACTACATAAATTTATGTATGTTATGTGTGTGTGTTTTTTTATCTAATTTTTCTGTTCTACAATCTTAATTTTGGCAACGAGAGTCACCACCAATACAATTATCCTAAACAATCTCAAATAAGAAATTTGATAATCTTCAACAGTCCTTTATTTCTAGCACCAAAGTTTAGAAATTATTCTTGATAAATAGTGTTCACCAGATATATCACTTTGCTCCCTATTAGTATTGCCTCTTTCTGTTATCAATTCACATACTTTAGACCCATAAGATGAAATCTGTGCTACAGCATGGACGGAATTTATGGACACCAAGGAACCTGTAGAAAATACACGCAACAAATGGTCCATCCTGTGAAGAAGAAGAAGAAATGTAGTGGGAATTTTTCTCATTTTCATTTCTTATTAATAGAGGTTGCAGAGTGATTGAGATAGTTAATTCTACTTTCATGCTGAATGGGAAATTGAGTGGTCAATATGGATCTACAGCCCTAGACAGCAGCATCGACATTCATCTTAACAAAATTAGAATCCATTCTTTGGAGCCAAGTGGGAAATTCCTAACATAATTGGCAAATTTGCTTGGCATGGAATAATGAATTCACTAAGATTATGAAGAATCAGAGTACATAGTATAAAGTCGAAGGATTTTGTTAGATTGCTACTGTTATTTTTCTAGGATGTGATTTGAAATTTCCAAACTTTTCTTTTTCTTTTATTTTTTTTATTTTTTATGCATCCATATTGTTAGTTCCATGGTGTAGATTGATTTAGTAGTGTCAATGATCTTATGGGAAGCCCTACCCTTTGCACTGATATGGACTATCTGGATATCAAGAAATGACTAAAGTATTAAATGGCAAAGAACCCAGTTGATACGAAATCAGTGAATTGGTGAAGATTAAGTCTCCTATTGGGTCAAATCCTCTGCCAACATTTCATTCCTTGGAATGTATCAAGTCTGTTAGACCATGCCCATCAACTACTGATATGTATGGGTGTATCTTCTTTCCTTTTCTCTTGCCAACCATTTTGTTTCAGATTTGCTTGAACATGATTTGTGCTGAATTACAGTGAACGAATGAGAAAAGAAATATATTTCTTCAATGTATATTACAATGATGCACAACTCAGATTATATACACCAGCATAAGCGCCTAATCTAACTGTAGTTCTAACTAATTCTAAACTCAACACAATCTAACTACAGTTAGTTGGAATCCTTTATGGAGCGTAGTTTTGGTATGGTTGTCCTGAATAGAAAAATCAGATTTATTAAAAATAATAGAACAATTAAATGGTGTAGATTGATTTAGTAGTGTCAATGATCTTATGGGAAACCCTACCCTTTGCACTGATATGGACTATCTGGATATCAAGAAATGACTAGGTATTAAATGGCAAAGAACCCAATTGATACGAAATCTGAGCTTGAGGCAGTGTAAGCTTTAGAACCGGATGAAGCATGAAACTGCTGTGGAGAAGATTGAGTTGACTGCTGAAAATGAGGATCCATGCGATGCCAACACTCAAATACGGAGTGATTTGGTTTGCCACAAATCTGCCAAACAGAACCAAAAGTAGATCGATTTTGATTTTGATTTTGATTTTTGTACTGATATCTTCCTCTAGAAGAAGAAGAATATCTACCACCAGACCTATTTCCTCTGTAATTACCTCGAGAATCTCCTCTGTAGTTAGATCTACCATGATGATATGTAGAAAAACCTTTTGAAGAAGAATTAGCTTTCATAGCAGCATAGGCCAGAGAAAGCTCAGAAGAAGACTTGTGTTTCTCTTCAATATGTAAAGCTTCAGAACAAAGTAAAGAAGACAATTCATCCATAGTAATCCCTTCAGAACGAGCTCTAATAGTAGTTTTAAAAGCATCATATTCACTTGGCAATCCATTCAATCTGATAAGAACTATATCTTCATCATCAACAGAAGCTGAGGCAAGATTCAATTGATCAACCAGTTCCTTGATATGACTCAAGTAGAGTTCTATAGACTCAGTTTTCTTAGAAATTGAATTTAGTTTATTCTTCAATTGGTGAATATGAGATCTAGAAAGAGAGGTAAATCGCTTATTTAGAGTTAGCCATACCTCAGAGCTTGTTTTGAGAGAACAGAAGTGAAAATAGACTGTGAGATATCCCTGAATTATGTTTTTATTCACCCAAAAAAAGGAAAAAAGACTGTGTGAGAGTAGCAGTGACACAGCTGAGAAGATGATTATCAATCATCTTCCATTTAGAAAACTCAGGATTAGGTATTTCTTTTCCAGTTGAATCACGAACAAAAGGAGAAGGACATGAAGATGATCCATCAAGAATATCAAGAAGATCAGTTGCTCTGAGTATATTCTGTAGCTGAGTTTTCCAGATTATGAAATTCGTTGAATCAAGCTTTACATTGACGAAAGAAGAGAGATTAGAAATCAAGAGACCAAGATTTGCTGGAAGAGTTGGTGATGCCATTGAAGACATTCGTGAAGCTCGCTAGAGCAGGTCATGCTCTGATACCATGATGAATTACAGTGAACGAATGAGAAAAGAAATATATTTCTTCAATGTATATTACAATGATGCACAACTCAGATTATATACACCAGCATAAGCGCCTAATCTAACTGTAGTTCTAACTAATTCTAAACTCAACACAATCTAACTACAGTTAGTTGGAATCCTTTATGGAGCGTAGTTTTGGTATGGTTGTCCTGAATAGAAAAATCAGATTTATTAAAAATAATAGAACAATTATTACAGTAACACACTACAGTGATATTTATATACAATCATGACCATGTAATCTAACTCTAGTTCTAACTAATTCTAAACTCAACACAATCTAACTACAGTTAGTTGGAATCCTTTATGGAGCGTAGTTTTGGTATGGTTGTCCTGAATAGAAAAATCAGATTTATTAAAAATAATAGAACAATTATTACAGTAACACACTACAGTGATATTTATATACAATCATGACCATGTAATCTAACTCTAGTTCTAACTAATTCTAAACTCAACACAATCTAACTACAGTTAGTTGGAATCCTTTATGGAGCGTAGTTTTGGTATGGTTGTCCTGAATAGAAAAATCAGATTTATTAAAAATAATAGAACAATTATTACAGTAACACACTACAGTGATATTTATATACAATCATGACCATGTAATCTAACTCTAGTTCTAACTAATTCTAAACTCAACACAATCTAACTACAGTTAGTTGGAATCCTTTATGGAGCGTAGTTTTGGTATGGTTGTCCTGAATAGAAAAATCAGATTTATTAAAAATAATAGAACAATTAAATGGTGTAGATTGATTTAGTAGTGTCAATGATCTTATGGGAAACCCTACCCTTTGCACTGATATGGACTATCTGGATATCAAGAAATGACTAGGTATTAAATGGCAAAGAACCCAATTGATACGAAATCTGAGCTTGAGGCAGTGTAAGCTTTAGAACCGGATGAAGCATGAAACTGCTGTGGAGAAGATTGAGTTGACTGCTGAAAATGAGGATCCATGCGATGCCAACACTTAAATACAGAGTGATTTGGTTTGCCACAAATCTGCCAAACAGAACCAAAAGTAGATCGATTTTGATTTTGATTTTTGTACTGATATCTTCCTCTAGAAGAAGAAGAATATCTACCACCAGACCTATTTCCTCTGTAATTACCTCGAGAATCTCCTCTGTCGTTAGATCTACCATGATGATATGTAGAAAATCCTCTTGAAGAAGAATTATCTTTCATAGCAGCATAGGCCAGAGAAAGCTCAGAAGAAGACTTGTGTTTCTCTTCAATATGTAAAGCTTCAGAACAAAGTAAAGAAGACAATTCATCCATAGTAATCCCTTCAGAACGAGCTCTAATAGTAGTTTTAAAAGCATCATATTCACTTGGCAATCCATTCAATCTGATAAGAACTATATCTTCATCATCAACAGAAGCTGAGGCAAGATTCAATTGATCAACCAGTTCCTTGATATGACTCAAGTAGAGTTCTATAGACTCAGTTTTCTTAGAAATTGAATTTAGTTTATTCTTCAATTGGTGAATATGAGATCTAGAAAGAGAGGTAAATCGCTTATTTAGAGTTAGCCATACCTCAGAGCTTGTTTTGAGAGAACAGAAGTGAAAATAGACTGTGAGATATCCCTGAATTATGTTTTTATTCACCCAAAAAAAGGAAAAAAGACTGTGTGAGAGTAGCAGTGACACAGCTGAGAAGATGATTATCAATCATCTTCCATTTAGAAAACTCAGGATTAGGTATTTCTTTTCCAGTTGAATCACGAACAAAAGGAGAAGGAATATCAAGAAGATCAGTTGCTCTGAGTATATTCTGTAGCTGTGTTTTCCAGATTATGAAATTCGTTGAATCAAGCTTTACATTGACGAAAGAAGAGAGATTAGAAATCAAGAGACCAAGATTTGCTGGAAGAGTTGGTGATGCCATTGAAGACATTCGTGAAGCTCGCTAGAGCAGGTCATGCTCTGATACCATGATGAATTACAGTGAACGAATGAGAAAAGAAATATATTTATTGAGTAATGCTACGTATCATGAAAAAAATATCGTGAAAATGATCATAAAAAGATTGTCCACTGTTAGATTACACATACAAGAAGATACCACACAATAATCAAGAGATGAAAAATCTTCATGAAGCATTTCATAATATCTAATATTATTCATATTTCTTCGATGTATATTACAATGATACACAACTCAGATTATATACACCAGCATAACCGCTGGAATAATGAATTCACTAAGATTATGAAGAATCAGAGTACATAGTATAAAGTCGAAGGATTTTGTTAGATTGCTACTGTTATTTTTCTAGGATGTGATTTGAAATTTCCAAACTTTTCTTTTCCT